CTTAACGACTGAGCCACCCAGGAGCCCCTAAGTAAGAAGGAGAGTTATTAATTATACAACGGCACAGACATTCGAAAAGAAAAAGAAGGGCTACTCGTGATGTTGCTAAGTACATATGAAATGGTGTAGGAGAAGAATTTTTAAAGAAACAGATTTCACATAGTTTTCTTTTCTTTTCTCTTCTTTTTTAAGATTTTATTTATTTATGTGAGAGAGAGAGAGGAGAGAGCACAAGCAGGGGGAGCAGCAGAGGGAGAGGGAGAAGCAGGGTCCCTGCTGAGCAGGGAGCCTGGCGTGGGACTTAATCCCAGGACCAGGGATCCTGACCTGAGCTGAAGGCAGAGGCTGAACCACCTGAGCCCTTCACATAGTTTTTTGAAACAATCCAGACAACTTCTAGGTTTCAGCTTGGAGAACAGGGAGCTGGAAAGAGTACTGTGGACACTCTGACAATTCACAAAAAGCTGAACAAATTGAAAACTAGATATTTCTCCTGAAAATACTAGAAAACTGAAATTACAGTATATAGAGTAATCTGAAACCTGGGGAGAGAGGAGGCCAAGATTTTGCTGACCTGTGGCTGAGCTTTCAAGACCAGAGAAGCCATTAAGAAGATGAAACTTTCAAATTTTAAATTGATAAATGTTGGCTAGCAGAGGACTGAGAAGCCACTTAAGATGAGAAGGAGGGGTGCTCTCTTGCCAGGGGCTCACAGGGAAGACCAGAGTCTAAGGAAGCTTTTCTTGTGGTGCTGACTACAGCAAGGGAAGAGAAGCCACCCATGAAACTCCACTCCCTCATCTCTACTACCTGCCCCAAGGGAGCCAAACCTTTAATCTACAAAAGTAAGAACCAGGAACACTTTCCCTTGAGAGAACTAATGGAAAACCATTGCAGGTGGTGCAAATGAACTACCCCTGAGAGGGGCAGGTATGCTTTATGTAATTGTGAGTGGGGAGACTTGGTGGCCATGTTCAAATGCAGAGATTTCCAGGTTGTAGGTCACAATGAAGGAGGAAGTTAGAGTATTATAAAATGTGAAATATGATAATGAGTAGGGGTAATCAGATGAAATATGGGAAGGCAGGGATTTGAGTATTTGTATTAGAAGTAAATGGAGCAGAATGATCAAAAACATGGAAGCAGGCAAATACGATTTATTTATTATTTGTTAGAACTTTAATAAGGCCATACTAGAGGGCAGCCGATGGGAAACCGTTAAGGACATTTAGAGCAGCAACAGTGAGAATTCTGGCTACCAGAGTAAATTAGATTAGATTCTCTTTGAATAATGGCCAATGGACTTTCTGGGGAATACGATGGCTGAACAATATGGAGCTGACACTTAGCTCTCCATTAGGAGATTAAAACAAGTGGTGAGATTGAGTCTTTATTATCTCTAACCCTGTTGATAAATGTGATGGTAGTAGGGGATCTCACCATGAAAATGGATATATTCTGGATGCACCCTTCAGTGCCAGAGACAGAGGTGCAGTAAAGAGAAGTACTCAGCTACTAAGGTAGTCTTCTTTGTGGGGCATGGTATGGTGTCTAAAACACATTTATCAAATTGCAAAAGGGGTATGGGCATTACGAAAATGTAAAAGAATAAGTCAGAAGAAAGATTTGTTACATAGGCAGAAAGCTCATCTTTTCCTTCTTTGTTAGACCATTTGGAATGCAAATGCTTCAGGTGAAGCAAAGTTCAGAGACAGATGAACAATATTCAGTGATAAGTCTACTGTATTCCTTTCGTAGGGATGCCATAATAAAGTTCTACAAACTGGGTGGCTTCACAAAACAGAAATTTAATCTCTCATAGTTCTGGAGCCTAGAAATCAGGAATGAAGTTGTTGGCAGGGACATGCTCCTCCAAAACCTCTTGAGGAGGGTATTTCCTTTCCTCTTCCAGCTTTAGAGGCACTCAGCATTTCATGGTTATGGCACTGGTAACTCCAATCTTCTCCTCCATCTTTTCCCTTTGTGCCTGTTTTTCTCTGTGTCTTCTTATGCCAGTCTCTCTGTGGAGTCTAAATTTCCCCTTTTTCAATAGGATACCAGTCATATTGGAATAAGACCCACCATAGTAATGATTTTATTTTAACTCGATTAAATCTATAAAACCCTGTTTCCAAATAAGGCCACGTTCACAGGTACTGAGAGTTAGGACTTGTACATATCTTTTAGGAAGGGGTCACAATTCAACCCATACCAACTACAAGCTCCAAAGTAAATTTAAAATTTTTATATTATTAGGAAAGGCAATAATAATAACTAAAAAAAGGCAAAGTGATACTAGTTAATCTTTCTTTAGTCCTTTAAGTGTTCTAACTATTGTCTTAAGCAATCTAGACAAGTATTAATTAAATTACTCTTTCAAGAAATCTTTTGAAGTAGGTATTTTTTGGCTCAAGACCACATATCTGACAGGTGATAAGACCATATTATTAGGGGTAGTAAGTTATTTAGTCATATGAATATAGGAAAGAAACTCCATAAGTAGACCTTTGGCATCAACATGATAAGAAATAATTAGAAACTAAGATCAAACAGAGTAGCATCAATGTGACACTTTTTACTTAGAGTGAAGGATTCAGGACACATGTTTTTTTTTTTATATTTGGGAGAACAACTCCAACATTTATAGTGAGACACTTAGAGAGAAGAAACTCATTCCTCCTAAGATCTTGAATGAGAATTTATAAACTTGAGAATTTAATGTTTCAGAGATCTCACACTTACAAGATTAGCCTAAAGACTATTTGGAAGACTTTTTTTTATTGTTACCTATATCTTTATACCAGCTTGATGTGGCTAGGAAAATTATCACTACAAATCATTTATTTTTTATTCAAAAGGAATGGAAGAAAAATAAAAAATTGGAAACAACACAGAGAAATTGAATTCATAAGAGTAGACATTTGTTCTTACAAAATTAAACAGACCTTAACCTACCATCCAGCAATCACTTCTTTGTGTTTACCCAAAGTAGTTGAAAACTGATGTTCAGACGATAACTTGCACATGGATGTTTATAGGAGCTTTACTCACAGTTATCAAAACTTGGAATCAAGCAAAATGTCCTTCAGAAGGTGAATGGATCAATGATCTGTGGCAATTTGGACACTGGAATATTATTTAGTGCTAAAAAGCAATGTTCTATCAAGCCATGCAAAGACTCAGAGGAACCTTAAACGCATATTGCTAAGTGAAAGAAACTACTTTGGAAAGGATATGTACATTATGATTCCAGTAACATGACATTCTGGGAAAGGCAAGGCTATGGAGACAGTACAAAGATGAATGGTTGCTAAGGGTTGGGGAAGGAAAGGATGTGTATAGACAGAGAACAGAGGATTTTTAGGGCAGTGAAAATACTCTATATGCTACTCTAATGGTGGATACATGTCATTATACATTTGTCCAAACCCATAGAGTGTACAACACCAAGAGTGAACCAATTTTATTTTCCTGGATAAACTGATGAACAGTCTGAATGGAAATTACTTGGTTTGAAAGACAAAATGTAAAACAAACAAATAAGCAAAAGAAACTAATAGTTTGATTCAATTTAGCTATAGGCTATGTTTAAAACAACAGAATTTGAAAACTGCTTCTTTGATAAGTTAACTTGTCAAATAATTCCTCATGTGACACAAAATGAATTTATTTATGTTATATGTACATTTATTTTTGTTTTGTACTGTAAATTATGGTAAATTATTGAAGGCCAAGAGGCAAACCAACCTATTCCTTTGTACCCATGCCTAATTCACTTGCAGTAGAACTAAAGAGAAGGTCAGACATGCTTTAAATTCACCATGACCCTTTCACTCTTGTGCTGTCCATGGTCCTAGGAGACAGCCTATTAATCTTGGGAGTTATAAAAGAATAGAAACATGTTTGGTTATTCAGAGAACCCACCTTTGGTGGAACCCTACAAAGTAATATAACCTCATATGGCTGAGGGTCCTTTTGATTAGTAGTTCATTAAATATCATACTTTGAAGTAGACCCTCTTTTGTTGTCATTCTTAGAACCCTTACTTTTCAGAGCATTTTTCAGAATGTTCTCTTATTTTCCTAATTGCAGCTGAAATAACATTTTCAAGCATCAACATTTGTGTTGTTCCTTACACATTACACTATATTCTTCCAGGAATTAGATTTTATTCCTGAACATTAAAAAAAAAAAAAAGGAGAAAGCAATTTTATCTTTTTTTTCTCTCCCACATGTATCTTTACTCAAGAAATGAATTTCAATATATTTCTGTGGAAGCATGGGTTTTAATTATTTTCTCAGGGACTGACAATTCCAATTTCCCAGATGATAAGTTAAATGTGTAATGCTCGATTATATATCACATTTCATTATATGCAACTGGATAATACCCATGTGATAGTTATTCCCTGGAAACAGACCACTAAAGTACCATTCAGTACACTGTTGATTTAGGACACAAAACTGTACTTCAGTATCCAGAAATAGTTAACAAAACATTGAAAATTATGTAATTTACTTTCTTGAAATATTTTAATAATGCCAAATTCTTTATAGTTTGCAAAGCAATTGTAAAAGTATCATTTTGTACTCATAGTAAACCCAAGAGATAACTATTGCTGTCTCCATTTTCCAAATGAAGATATTACAGCTTGAAAGGATTTTCTGTTCCTAAAGTATCTGTGGTTGTTAAATGGCAGGGCTGGAAGTTCTACACAGACCTTCTGACAGTAAGTCTTGGCTGGTTCCTATCATACAGCTTCCTCTAGTTCTAGATATATGAGGATATTTAAATCCTCTTCTGAGAGAAAGAAATATTCTCAATATAAAATATTAAGCTACCAGCTTTTAGTGCATCATTTGAGGAATACAAGCCACAATACTTTGAAGTGCCCCAAATTCATGTTTTTAAATAGGATAGTGATTGAATGAAAATAAAATACATGTGCTCATAAATAGAGTATAAATTATATTTTTCTTTGTCTAGGGCCTCTGAAAAAAAATGATTGTTGGTTAGCAGAACAAGTATTTCTCTAGCAGTGCAAGCAGACGTTTTCTTCCTGGTGACATGTGAGAGTGGGTGGTGAGTATTTCAGATCAGAACATTGAGTTCTTGTGAACAAAAAATGTATAATGGCTGGATTTACTTTTTTTTCCCCTTAGATTGGCCATCATACAGCCTTTTAGAGTTAAATGCCAGCCCCTCTTCAAAAAACAAAACAAAAAAGCAATATTAGATAATTTGACTACAGATAACCTTTGTAACAGTTTATTTCTTTATGCTTTATTTTCTCTGGAGAATAATTCCAAAATGTTTAATGAAACAATTATTAAATTATAACTTAAATATAAATAAATTAATTATCAGATAATTAATTAATTAAAAATAAATTAAATTATACTTTCTCCTTTCTGAGGATAAGATAAAATTAAATTAGAGTTGGTTATCATTAAATGCATTTATCACAGCGTCAGGAAATATTTCTTCTCTTAGATTCTACTGAGAAGAAAGCACATGTAAGAGTATGGAAAAGGTCATCTCTAAAGTCAGGAACAGTTGCACATTCTCAACCAAGACGAGATTCAATATAAAAGTTAAAAAAATTAGTTCAAATTTTTTTTTAATTTGCATGAGTAACATGAACAAGAATTCACTTTGAGACTGCATGATTTTTAAGCAGACAAAATATATATATATATTTTTTCAACATAGGTCTTCATATTTCAGAGATATTACATTAATATGTTAATCCAAGTTTGTAGAATTCTGAGTTAGTATCTTCTTGTCAGAAAATGTGGATAGTCTGTTTTTATCCTTGCTTACTACATGTTAGGTATGTAAATATGCATAAGTAATTCACATTTCCTGTGTCATTTTCCCCTTCTGAAAAAATAGGAAAAATAAACCTACATTATAGAGTTAATTTGAGGATTAAATGATAATACTAAATAGCTTTTCAGCCATTTCTGATAATTTTGTTGGTGCTCCAAACTGAGAAGATAAGTGCTAACGGAAGAACATTTTTTTTTTTAAACAAAAAGGTGCTAGAAGAAATACATATTCAGTATTTGCTAAAAGATGTTTAAAATCCAGGCCTGCCATCCTGACCCCCTCACACACCTCTAAGTGTACGTAGAGAAGACTAAAGATCCAATGGATTGAGAGAGGAGGATGTCTTAAACTTGAAAAAGATTGTCAGTCTTTGGCTTTTTACCTCCCTTTGCTTTGTATGAGGGTGGAGATTTTTTCCTTATTTCAAGACTAGCTCAGGGAGTTTCAAGAGATTTGATGAGGTCCAAAGATGCAGCAGTATCCAAGGACACAACCCTGCCCTCTCCGGGCCAGCCAGAGGCTTTCTTAGCCAAAAATTTTTGGCTTGTCTAGGTTGCTGAGGAAGATAAGTGTGCTGAGAGGGGTTTTGTGAGCATATGGTCTGTTCCTCTGGAGAATTTGATCAAGGCAAATGCACATTTGTGTCTTCTTTTGTCTGGAAAAGTCTCAAGGGATTAGACTGGTTTGGCTGGATTCCACCTGTGGGGCAGAGCAGAGGGACCTGTTGCATTTGGGAGGCTACGCTACGTTTCTGTGCTCTGGAGAAGAAACAAAATCTGTGTATTCAGTGGTTAACTTGGAAGGCTAACATCTTCGCAAGGAAATGATAGTGTGAGAGGTCTTCTTGACAGAAGCTTGCATCCAAAAGCCACAATGTACTCCATGAAAGAATATAAATAATAATTTGAGTACATTTGCCATGCAGAAGACACCAATGTTGGATTACAAAAACACCAGTCCAACTCCCCCCTCTCCCTCCAGTGTCTCATCTCCTTCTCCATTCTCTAGCCGGGGGAAGCCAGAGGCAGCCCAGTCAAGTGGGGAAAAGCAGTGGCAGGAAGTTATAGCGCCCCATTTCACTGATGCCCTGCCAGGCCAGACTTGAACCAAAGAAAGGGACATGCTTATATTGGATAATATGTCATAATTTTGACACTAATCTTAGCTAGGCTTTTTTTCAATGTTTGAAAATGGATTTTCTTTTGTCTTTTTTTCTTTTTTTTTGAAAATAGGTTTTCTAATACATGAAAGTAATCAGGAATGATTATGCATCTAAATATACTATCCAGGGGGCAAGAAGGCAATATATGACAGACTAATATCTGACAGAGGATGAGAAGGGAAAAAAATTGTTGTACACTGCACACCACTGAGTCCAGCTTCGTAGTAATATGAGTTCTGTCTTATCAATGATATTTTCAAAATAATACTCAGATCTGTCCTTCTAGCCTTATCCCTATTGATATCACCTTAGTTCAAACCACCATCTGTCTCACCTGAATAATGGCACCAGCCTCCTCTTTGTGCTCCCACTCCTATGGTTTCACCTCCCCTATTCATTCTCTGCAGAAGAGGAAACATGGTTTTCTCAGAACATAACATAGGTTATGTTTACCTTCCTTGCTTAAACATTTCAATGGCTATATTGCTTTATTACAAAATCTAAACTCCCTCCCTTGTCCTACAAAATCTGGCTTCTGCCTATTTCTCCATTTTCTTTTGGAGCTCATGGCTCTTCTGTGCCTGGTGCCTGCAGGACCTGCCCCTTCCCCCCCATCCCTTCCGACAGCTACACCAACTCACCACATCTCTCCAAAGAACTCCTTGACCTTCCTACTTAAACAAAGTGTCCTATGCATCTTTCCATCTCCACAAATTATTTTCTCCTTTATAGCATTGATTTATAACTCACTACAACACTAACTAAAATAGCACTCATATGTTCAATGTTTTAGTGTTCATTTCTTCTCTCCAAAACATTGTGTCCCCACATGTCAACAAGGTCTGCACTGGTGGGTGTCTGAATATTCACGAAATGAATTATTATGTTATTATTGTTGCTACTGTTGTGTTATTATCAACTCAAAGAAGAAGAAAAATGTACAGAGTAAGAAGAAAAGTAGGAGAAAGAAAATAATAAGAATCAGACATTAATAAAAGACAAATGTTACATTTTGTGGGGAGGGGACTACAGAGATAATAAACAATACCAAAAGTTGATTCTTTAGAAGAGTGAAAATACAGCATGTTCTATCAAGGCAAACTAGAAAAAAAAGAAAAAGCACATAGAAGGAAAATTAGCTTTAGAAAATAGAATAATTAGATTAGTAGAAGCTGTTTAAAACTTTTAAGACAATGAAAACATTAACGACAATGTATTTGAAAAGGAGTAATATGAATATTTTAGAAAATATATTCTCAACTAACATAAATGAAATATGTAACTGTAATTTAAAATATGAATCAGTGGCCAAAAAGTCCTTCCTACAAAAAGTTTTAGGAAAGAAAATGATGGCCAATAGTTTTGGAGATGTTTTAACAAGCCTTTGAAGAAACACACAATCCTCACCATACAAAAGCTGTTCAGAGAATAGAAAAAGAGGAAGGACTTCCGAGCACATTTTATTAGACCCGTATAACCTCAATTATAAAACTGGACAAGAATAGTACAAGAAAACAAAATTGCAGAGCAAACTCATTTATGAACATTGATGCAGACAGCATGACTACACTCTTACTAAATTGAAACCTGCAATGTATGTATATAAAATATATCACATTTAAATTTGTTTTGTTCCAGCAATAGAAAAGAGCTTAGTACCAGAAAGTGTAACGGTGTGTTTATACATTTTAACAAATAATAAATTAATCTCAGCTGTTGCATTGAAATATTTTATAAAAATTCAGCACCTGTTCATGAATAAAAATAAAAACAGAAACAAAGCACGTAGCAAATCATAAGTCGAAGATTTCTTCACCTGATGAAAGGATATTTGTTAAAACCTGTATCAAACATTATCTTTATTGATGCAACTTTAAAAATATTATAAAGGCCTACAGTAGTCCTCAACTCAAACTCAGTGATCTATGCTAACACTTTGTGATGTCTCTGGTGATAAAGTAGAAGTGCTCAGAGTTCACAAAGCTCATTCACAAAGCGGGCTGGTCGGCCACATAGCATTTATTGAATATGCAGTATTTCTGCGATAACCTTAATGTTTCTAGGATAGCCTCTCCATAAATGTAGTGTAGTGCATATTGTGAGAGAGGGAACATGCACGCAGTTTGAAATTAATTGGAACGGGAATGCGTGGGGAAATAGCTAGACATCTTTTGTTGCATTCAATTCAGCCCAAAAAAATGAGTCTAATTCCTGAAGGCTATTACTTCCCCAACATGAATGCTGCTTCTATTTCATCTCTACAGGCACCCCTCGTTTTATAGCCCTTCGCAGATGCTGCATTTTTTCAAGTGGAAGGTTCGTGGCCACCCAGCATCAAGCAAGTCTATGGGCGCGAGTTTTCCAACAGCGTTTGCTCACTTGGTGTCATTGTGTCACATTTTAGTAATTTTCATAATATTTCATACGTTTCCATTGTTATTATATTTGTTCTGGTGATCTGTGATCAGTGATTAGGACTGGCTGAAAGTTTGGATAATGGCTAGCATTTTTTAGCAATACAGTATTTTTTAATTAATGTGTGTACATTTTTTTAAAGACATAATGTTTTGCACATTTCATAGACTACAGTGTAGTGTAAACATAGCTTTTGTGTGCACTGGGAAACCAAAAAATTCATTTGACTTGTTTTATTGCAATATTTGCTTTATTTGCAGTTGTCTGGAAAGGTATGGCTCTATGTCAGATAGTAATTGTTCAGGTTCAATGAGTTATATTTGATGTTACTTTTTAATTTCCTTCAGCTGAAGGATTGGCTTCACTCCATAACAGGGAGTTCCTCTAATTACTATTTAATATTCCTTCAAATTATTGTTTAAAAAAGTGTACACCCAAGCTAATGACTGCCTAGGCATTTGCAGGTTTATGTTTGCACTTATGTAAAATTTCATGGAATTTCCATGGCGGTTAAAACTTTCTGATTTAAAAAAAAAAACAAAAAACCAAAACTTTCTGATATATAAATATTCGAATAGCTGCTAATACTCCTGATATAAACAGATCTCACCTGGGAGGAACATGGTAAAATGATGGACTAAGTACACTATCAGGGCATAAGAATTTTGTGAAAAAAATCAAACCTCCTTTTACATGAAGGACCATATTATAATTATGTTAAAGTGCACTTAATTAGTTAGCAAAATATTGACTTTGATATCAAAAATATTAAAAGGGGGACAATGCCTTATTTAAATAGGAATGCTGATTAAAAATTTAGAAGAAATAATAGAAATAGAAAAATCACTATTTAATAATCATTAGAGTAGTAACTGACTCAGGCAAAAACCATTAGTTAAGGTGAAATCACTAGATTATAAATGTTGGGATATTCAAAGAGTCTGAAATCATTACATTACAGATTAATAATGACAAAAGGAACAAAAGCTTAAATTTTGCAATGGAAATATTTGGCACATACTATTTTAACCAATCAAACTTAATATTACCAATACGGGACCTTAGAGAATTACTAATGTTAACTATTTATGCTTTTCCCTGCTTTTTTGAGATAAAACTGACATATAATATTGTATTAGTCCAATGTGTATGAACATAGTGATCTGGCAGATGTATATAAATTACCACTAATAAGTTTAGGTAACATCCATCACCTCACATAGTTATTTCTCTTCTTCTTAAGAGAAGTTTTAAGATCTAATCTTTTAGCAACTTCTAAATATATAATACAATATTAACTGTAGTCACCATACTGTACATTACTTAGCCAGCACTTATTTATCTTATAACTGCAAATTTTTACCTTTTGAACACCTTCCCTCATTTCCCCCAACGCCCGCCCACCGTGCCTGTCAACCATTTGTATGTCTTCTTTGGAAAAATATCTATATAGTTTCTCTGCCTATTAGCTATTTATTCTACTTAAGTATTATATTTTTATTGCAGTAAAGAATGATGACTTTTTCTCTATATATGATTGATTTTCATGGATTTGTAACAAAACTAATGCAAAGCATAAAAAATTTCAAAGGAGTGTTTTTTTTTTTTTGAGTCAATGGAATATTTTTTTCTTCAACAATATCCATAGGCTTTTTTTTTTTTTTTGAAGATTTT